CCAGGAAGGTGCTTATATCCCTCCAGTATAAAAACATTAAGAATTTTGTTTTCTCTAACCTTCCTGTCAAAAAGCATTTGTATGGACAGCCATCGATTCAGCTGTATAGTATTTGACACAACTTTCCCTTTACCTTCCTCACCTATAAAACTGTCAGGAGCTTTCAGGGAGGATAAAGGGCTGTGAGAAACACCTTCAAAAAGTGAACAAAGAGAGAAATGGCTGTGGCTTACACTTAATGCCTCATCTTCAAAAACAATCCCAGTGTTTTTCAGAGCAAGTTAAATAACTTAGAAAACCTTTGAGAATTGAAGAGATAATTATCTCCACATTAGATGCAAAGGAAGAAAAACAGAGGCAGAATTACTTGCTGTAAGTGTTGAGTTCTATTGTTTGAGATGTTTCTAATTATAAAGTATTGGAAGCCGTAGGAACCAGCAAAGAGATCTACTCAGAGCTTTTTTCCTGAATTCAGTTGCCTAAAGCTGTGCACTTTGGATAGAGTTTTTGACCTGAAACTCCAAATTTGCATGAGAACCAAAAGGAAAAACAAATCTATCAATTAAGGTATGTGAGGTAAAATAAAAAGTTATTAATTACTTCAAATATGAAGTGACATAAATCAAAAGACTTCAGATAGAAGTAGCCTCCTGAATTTCTCTGAATTTTCTCCTCTCCCTCCATGTTCTGAGAGCTGCAGAGTCTGCACCCAGGCTCCCAATCTTTGGGAATAAGCCTTCTGGAAATACCTAGAAGAAGTCTCAAGTCACAGCTGAATGTTCACAAGTTAAATGATGTGCTCAAAGACCTGACTCTGCACCTTCTGCTGGTGTGGTCCTGCATCTCTGTATGGCTGCCACAGAAAAGCTTGTGAGGTGTCTGATTCTGGTACAGGTGAGCTGTTGCTTTCACACTGCAAAATGTGTGACAGTCACTGCTGATCTATGGAGCAAGCATTTTGCTCATCACCAATTTTTGAGTCCTCAGCACTGAGACCTTTGGAGATTTGTACAGGTGTGTTCTGTCAGTGTGTTGTCTTTCAATGTGCAAATTGTTCCTTGGTGTTGAGTCACTCTGCTGTCAGCAGTTATGTCACAGTTATGCAGGTTCTTTCCAAGTCCTGCTTTCAAGCAGACCAAAGTTATAGAACTCTGTGAGACTGTATTCATTTTGCAGAGCCACTGGCTCTATCTTTCAAATGGACTTTTCTACCTGACAAAATATGGGAAAACATTTCCCGTGGAAGGCTCTGTTAGGAGTTATGGTATGTGATTACAGATCCAGTGGAGTAGAAACTTTGTCTTTTCAGAAAAGAAGCACTAGAACATTTTTTTCCTTAATCTATCCATTTGGGATTTGACAACAGCTATTGCCACCCACCTCTGCAGGGACATAGCAGATGTGCATTTCTCCTTCTCCTAGTTGCATCAGTCACCCACTGGCACTGCAATGTGACTGTTCTGTTGAGGTATGTCTCTGTTCTCCAGGATGTGTTGCAACAGGGAATTATTTTTCTTATACCAGAAATGTGCAACAGTAGGAGGCACTGGGGATTCCCAACTCCCCGTGCTGTTTAGAATAGCATGTGTGGTTTATATATCTTGTGAAAGTTTTGCACAGCTTGTGGCAGTAAGGCACTTCAGAGAGGAGACTCAATTCCTTTTACATGGGCAGCATCCTGCAGCCTGCCTGAAAGCTGCTGTGGTGAACCTGGGCTGGCTGTAGTTTCATAGTATATGGAATTAGCACTAGAGCAGAAATTAAGATAGTTCATATATGTCATATTTATGTCTTATATATACAGCTGTGTAAAACTTCAAAACACGTATTGCTAAGGAATGCAGAGTCTTGTTTGTTACTTTGGAGATAGAAAAAAAAATTTTAGCACTGGCTTCTTTCAGTGCAGTTCAATGGTATTCAGAGCTGTCGTGGCCAAACACAGTCACAGGGTGCTGCATTAGATAGGATTTATGTGGTGTGATCCCTGGTGGTGTCACACTACTTTATCTGCATCGTAGACAGTTGAGTTCACTGATTTTACTTCTTTAGGTGCAGCTGATACTGTAATTTGGCTCATGGCTAATGCATCAGTTATATTCCAGAAGATCCTGCCTTCACCCTGAATTCTCTGTCTGTGTCTTGGAACTCTTCTTTTAAGGACTTAGCCAAAGTGCAAATATAGAAGACATTCCCTTTAGGATTCTAGAATAAAGTCGAGCTGTGTTGGGCTCCTGTTCAACAAATACCTCATCCCTCTAGCTCGTCTCACTATTTATCTCTTTCAAACAAGACCCAGAAGGAAGAGAGAGGTGTTTCAGTGATCTGTTGTTGTTTGCTTCTTCTCATGCTATGTTTAAAACATCAATACTGGCTTTGGAGATGCTGTCAAGAGTCATGAAGGGCCTGCTCTGTTCAAACAATGCAAAAAAAAACCTCCAGCAAAGTTATATATTTCCTTCCTCTTCTTTTAACCCTTGTGCCTTTTGGAAATTGGCTGCCCTCCCTTTAGGGTGGTTGTTTTAAAGCTATTTAGCACTAACAGCATCTGGATGGACACTAAAACATGGGCATAGTCTTTAGGAATTTCTCTTATCCAGTTTGGTATTTTACTGCCCATTGTTATTTTTCTCTCATGTTTTATCTAAAAGTCTTTATGTAGAATTTTGCAGCCGCTCAAAATATTAATGTTGATACATTTAGCAGAAGAGCAAATGTCAGAGTTCTGAGTAGTAGTTTAATGCTTTTACTGGATATTTGTGTGAGCAAAAATCGACAATTCTTCATGAAAATAACAAGTTTAAATGTAGTACAGTGAAAAGCAGAAAGAGAAATGTTTGAGTCGCTTTGTCAATTATATAATGAAATGTGTGGAAGTGTGCTTGTGCAGTTGAAACAGGACACATTAATCAGAACCATGGTTTGGAATCTTTTCTTATCTAGGATACAATTT